CAAAAAGGGTTGAATTGACTGAAATTTCAAAAATCTTCTTCTCAAGACCCAGATATGGTAGAATCAAATACTCTTCATAGATGGAAGGGTCTTAAGGTGCTTTACCAAATTTGTGAATTTCATGACCCTTGGGTCTCACGTTTCCCTCTGGGGAGGGGGTAAACTTTACTATAGTTTACATAGGGAAATCACATTTTGGACTAACATTTGTTTAATTGCCATTGGAAGTAATTCAATTTGGGTTAGAATTATCAGTATTGGATAGCAGTTTGATGGTATGCACATATCAGCCCTGACTGGTTAATAATGGCAAATGATACTTTGAATATTACATGTTGATAACTTGATTGGAATTATAACCCTAAGGTGACAGTTTGATACTTTGTAAATTTTGAGCCATCCCTAACCCCAGGGCTGTAGGGTGGGGCCCAATGGAGTCTGTGTGCTAAAATAAAAGTTCTTCATTTTCCTTGTTTAGAATCAGAGGTGCTAGTTTCAAATACTTTTCAGTCTTAAATCTGCATGCTAGATATTGAATAAGGTGGTTTTATTGTTTTTTGTCACTTTGAATAATATTTCTGTTCATGTTAAAAACAAAAATCAACTCTGTATAAATATATCAGGTGACCGTTAAGGCCCATGGGCCTCTTGTTGTGTTACTTAATCAATTTTATAAATTTTAGCATTTCTGACAAAAAATCCCTGATTTACATTTTTGATATGTTTGTCATGGTTTTAAGTGCCAGACCCATATTTCCCTGAAGTCATACATAATGTCAGCAATTATCCCTATTTATATTTGGGTGAAAGGAGCCATATTTCCCAAAAATCGTTGTACCATAACGTTAATGGGTATAATGTACGTCAGCATTCGGCCTTATTTAGCCACAAGTAGGGAATGTACCTATGTCAAACATCCAATGACTTTGTACACTTCTGTTATAGACTGACCCAATTACTGGTTAGCATATGACCCAATTACTGGTTAGCATAACGATAAGTCAATTAATTTTTACAGAGAATGCTTTTTATGAATTATACAGTTTCGGATTATACATTTACTGGTTGGAATTTAAATTGGTTATAGTGAGAACAGTACACTATATATTTACATAGAGATAATGTTGCTAAACCTGTCCTTAAGCTGATGGCATTGTGATATACTTTGCCCCGATATTTGCCACCTTTTACAAAATTCCTTTAAGTTTGTAAATTTTGCATACATGATTTTTTCATTCACCTTTATTTGTCTTTGACAATTATTCTCCCTCATCCAATTTCAGCTAAAGAAAAACTAAACCTGTCTTTACCTAGCAAAGGAAAAATAAACCTGTCTTTATCTAGCCAGGGAAAAATTAAACCTGTCTTTACTTACCTAAAACCTAACCCTGTTTGTATCTACCTACGGAAAAATAAACCTATCTTTATCTACCTAGGGAAAAAATAACATTTCTTTACTTACCTAAAACCTAACCCTGTTTGTATCTACCTAGGGAAAAATAAACCTATCTTTACCTACCTAGGGAAAAATAAACCTGTCCTTACTTACCTAGGGAAATCTATCGTAATACCAATATGTGATGATGGAAAAATAAACCAAAATAAAAATAAACCAGAGAAAAAATGAACATATCCTTACCAGAGCTTGATATTCACTCTCCTTATTAGGACATATATACTCAGAGCTTGATATTCACTCTCCTTGTTAGGACAGATATACACAGAGCTTGATATTCACTCTCCTTGGTAGGACAGATATACACAGAGCTTGCTATTCACTCTCCTTGGTAGGACAGATATACACAGAGCTTGATATACACACTACTTGTTAGGACTGATATCCACTCTCCTTCTTAGGACAGATATACTCAGAGCTTGATATTCACTCTCCTTGTTAGGACAGATATACACAGAACTTGATATTCACTCTCCTTGTTAGGACAGATAAACACAGAGCTTGATATTCACTCTCCTTGTTAGGACAGATATACACAGAGCTTGATATTCACTCTAATTGTTAGGACAGATCTATACAGAGCTTGATATTCACTCTCCTTGTTAGGATAGATCTACACAGAGCGTGATATTCACTCTAATTGTTAGGACAGATATATACAGAGCTTGATATTCACTCTCCTTGGTAGGACAGATATACACAGAGCTTGATATTCACTCTAATTGTTAGGACAGATATACACAGAACCTGATATTCACTCTCCTTGTTAGGACAGATATACACAGAGCTTGAAATTCACTCTCCTTGTTAGGATAGATCTACACAGAGCTTGATATTCACTCTAATTGTTAGGACAGATAAACACAGAGCTTGATATTCATTCTCCTTGTTAGGACAGATCTACACAGAGATTGATATTCACTCTCCTTGTTAGGACAGACATACACAGAGCTTGATATTCACTCTCCTTGTAAACAGATAACTAAAGTTCTATTGAAAATTTGTAGGACAGAATGCAGATTTGAATCTGATAATGTTTTTGTCTAAAACCTGTCCACAAAAGCTTGCTATGCTACAGTGATCTTCTACATAATCAAATTGTCATTTAATTTCGTTTAAAGGAAACTTCATATGTATTTTTATACATACTATTTGCCAAGCTGAATAGGGCAATGTCTTATTGCATATTCAAAATTCAATGCATCTATAAATACACTAAATGTTTCTTAAAGTGGTTGAGGAAAAACTCGTTAGTCTACCGTACCTGTGTGTAATTGTTATATCAGGTTCAGGTTTTCGTGTGATCTAGAGTTTCTAATTCCCAGGGGTGTCTCCACAACCTGCCGGTTCCTGGTGGGATCTGATGTCCTTCAAGGGTGTACATACATGTAAACCGTTCAAATGTCAGGGACTTTTTGAATGAAAAAAATTGTTGACTTTTTCGTGATTGTGCCAAAATTATGAGAATTTTCCTCTTTTTTTTTTATGAAAATGATGACTTTTAGGTCGATTATTATCTCTAACCTCAGACTGTGAAATTAGACACATACATCATTACATATATAGTTACAAACTTAATGAAGTACCATTTATCACACTTCCCAATATGTTTCTACATGTAAATAGCAAGGGTGATCAGTTTACCTGACCTTTAAACTATGGTCAACAAACAGGCTGTATTAATGGAAGTACCATGCTTGTCCTCAACCCTTTCACCCCTAGGTAACTTGAGTAGACTCATACATTCATCTGGAAGAGTCCATGATGGTCTAAAGTGGTGAAAGGGTTAAGTTTGATAGAGAAACAAATAAAACACTTTCTGGAGTTTTGTTATGATTTATTTTTCCCGATAAAAAGTTTAAGATGAAAAAAATTTGGCTGTCTATCCTCTTAAGGATCCTTTCCTATCATATAAACTTACTTTTAGATCTCTTACGCACACACAAACTTACTCTACCATCCTTATTTTGCAAATAAAGTCATCCAGGGCGGTGGGTGCCACCTCGTAAACCTGCCTGGCGGAGGCTGTATGTATAAAGGGACACATTCGAACCTGTAAATTGTTGTGTTTGATGACTTGGGGAACTGATACAAAGTTTCTACATACATATCTCTGATTTACCAGGAACCAAAGCGCTATACATTTCTTCTAAGTACTCTAAATTCAAAAGTAAAATAGAATTGTTGATTAATTTCTATGACAATCCAGCTTAAAACAGATAGAGCACTGACCACCCTGTACATTTGTATAATCCATATCCATTTTGTGTTTTACAGTTCCCAGCCTGGAAGTGAGACAAGTGCGGAGAGGTGATTGATGTCATTGCCTTATTGTACATAGACTCACCATTCCGATCCCTCCCCAACCTGAAGTGACCATTGGTCAGTGGTCATTACCTGTGGAAAACCTAGCAGTCAAAAGAGTGACCAGCTGGTGTTCAACAGACCTAGTCACAAACTGACCACTGTCCAATCAGGGACAGCAACTGGTAACCTTTTCAGGGGAAGAAACTCCATGGATTCAGGGGGAATAAACCCACTAATGATTCTCAGAGTATGATACCTACAAATCAGCGACAAAGCATCTGGTATCCATACATTGATTATGGTACCTCCATGGAGTATAATGTATAAAAGTACTCTGCCATGGGTAACTTCTGGACCTATACAATTGTTTGGCTGGATTCCCTTCAGGATAAGGAAAGGTAATTCCAGATGATTTGAGTAAGTGGAACATTGTGGAAATGTTACAGATAACAGTGCTGAATGCCATGTATTGACCTCTCTGTTGATTCTGCTGGAAGGCGGACATGTTGATATTTCAATATAAGTGTTGAAATATTCAAGGATTCTATGATTTCTGGATCAACAGGATTGCAAATATTTAGTGAAATATTCTGCGAGAATGAAAGCATTGACATCTACTCGACTGTGTTCATCAGTGTTGTCAAATAAATCTGCCAAACGTCGGGAATAAGTGACCGTTCTGTAAGATGTTCAGTGAACCTAAGGAATTTAAATTAAAATCGGGTGAAAGAGAAGAGATTTTCTGTGAATTGACGGAGAAAATTTGAATGCAAGAGAAATCTTTCTGTGGCATGTTTGTAGACTTTTGTACAGTACATGTAATACTATTATTATACATGTAAGATGTGTCTGTAAGGGAGAAACTACAACCAACTGTAAATGAATTAAGTTGATAAATAGTAGTTATTGTCAAGACTGTAGTGCTGGGAACCACTTGTGTTTCAAGTGCTCAACTTCTGTATTTACTCATAAAAGAAATTTGTGAAAATATCACATTTGAAAAGTTATAGAAGTGATGTATTTGCCACAGAGTGTCAAAACACAAATGTCATCATGGCCAAATGCATATAGCATAACCTGTGTACATTTTGTGGATGCCAGCAAACGTGTGTAAATAATTAGCAAATATCCTTCGATCATTTCATACTTGAGAATGTGAAGCGTTGTTATATTTGTTACATTGCAAGGGTTTTTTAGATAAAGAAATTAAAGTTCATACAAATAATTATTGTTAATACTCCAATTGTACAGGTTTATATACGATTCAGATAGTGGAAATGTACAGCCAATTACAGTAATATCTGTTTGACTCATTAGCTAGCTGTAATCTTCAGGGTTTTATATAAAAGTGCATCATTTCATTGCTACCATCATTATCCTCACACCAGGACAGTTAGTGTTTAGTTTATGATTTATCACATATAGACCTACTTCATACATCATCCATCATCATTGAAAATAATTATTTTTTGCATCAATTATAAAACTACGTTTCAGTAGGTATGCAGTGACAGATGTAGTAGTTTCATTATATATAACACTTTATAAACATTACAGCCATAACGGTATAACTTTCCCCCAAGTATCTATATATATGTCAAATTTTCCTTAACACAATTATAACTTATATCCTGCATTTTCAAACTTCTTAAACTCTTACCAAACTGAGTCCACTTTCATAATGTCAGTTACTTAACACAATTGTAACGTCACCCGCAACACTGTGTTGCGGGTTAAAAATTCTTTTAAACTGTTGCAACATTTCCAGGGTAGATGCTGGAAATGTTGTAAAGAGTTAAAAAGAATTTTAACATTTTAACAGCTAGATACAAAAACTGATTTTTCAGAAACATCGACAGCAAAATATTTTCTTTTTCTTTTTCGGACAACGTTGTTTCCAAATTTTGTCCACTTGGTAAAATGTGTCAATTTTAAAGCTAAGATCGATGTGTATCTTCATTTACAGTTCATTCCTAGTACCAGGTGACCTGAATTATTCAAAACTTTGTAAGTTTTTTTTATTAAAGTAAATGTATAAAGATAAGATCTGTTATATATAATTTGCACTAGAAACATTGTAAAAACACAACTACACAACCTTACAACCTTTGTTGATCCTGACAAGGGTTTGATCAGTTCACCTTTAGGGAAATGCTTGTCAGTCTTCCCGTTTTGGACAGAGGATCCCAATTTTTCACTTTCGAAAACAGTAGATCTGCCTTTATCTTGCTTTTATGCGCACAGATTCACTTTCATGAAAATTGGTAAGATTGGCAGGTATGTAACTATTAAAAAAATTCCATCGTGTAGCAGACTTAAAAATTGGTTTATATTGTTGAATTATTGTTCAAGTTATTCTAAAAAAGTGAGAGTACTGACTTCAAAGTTAAAATATTAACGAGATGTTTACAACTTTACAACAAACAATAAATTATCCTTGTGATGGAATCAGGTAAAAAAGTTGTGGATGCACTTGTGTGTAGGTGGACACTGTTAACAGACGATGACGATGTGTATTTCTGAAACATCGTTATTGATGCATTCGACACTTAAACACTCTTAAATCTTCTTAAAGATCACAAAATTAATTGCAATGTATAGTTGTTAAACGTGAAAATCAGGTTTAAGACTCTGTATCATGGCTTTCTGATACATGTATTTTTGTTCACATTTGTCAAAACTTTGGTCAGGGAGAATTCTGTGACCCTGACAAACTGGTGAACGTTAAATGTTCAACAACACATCATACTGTGTCAAATGATTGCAACTTTTTACATTTCCATAATTTTACATAAACTTGGTAGAATGTTTAGCTGTAAGGAAAATATAATCTCACATTATGAAAATCTGTGATAAGTTCTATGCAATTGATATTAACTTGCCATTGATATGCCCGGGTAGCAATAGCTATGCTTTTGTCCGATTATGTTTGTAAACTGGCACGAGCTGGCCATGGGTGGACAAGGGCCAACTTGATGGAGTGACCCAGTTTGTGACAAGCTGTGACAAGCACAAATGTCCATAATAAAAAATAAAAAATTGTAACAAAAAGTTAAATTAAATAAAAATGCATTTGGTTGTTAAAAGACTTAAGAATAAAAAAAAACGGAAAAAATATTAAAACTAGATGGCATGTGCATACATCAGGAAAACTTGCAATTTTTACAGCTGTGAAATAAGCATGTAATTTGTTAAAAAAAACAAGGATAGCAGCCAAGATGTTCATCCAAAGTGTCCTTTGAGTCTTGTCTTCCATAATATTATTACGGTTCATACCATGTAGTGTCAGAAATAAAATTAAATCAAATAGAAATGCTGCTTTTTCACAAAAATTACCCCGGAGGCCCCACCCCCTAGTTTCAGATTAAGTTACACGTTTATAACATATTTAACATTGTGACATTTTCTCCTTAAGCCACAGTATGTGCTTTGTCTATCACCAGATATACTTAATACCCTCGTAAGTTTTTGTGTCACCTACGACGGATGTCGGAAAGACACATAGATGCTGCTTTTCCGATGGCGACAGTGGCGTCAACAATGTTAAGGTTTTGCGTTTAGCTCTGTTTCTGACAAAGCTACACCAACAAAACCTCGATCATAGATGTAACATGGGTAGTGGAGCCTACTGCACTAAAAATATTTCATTGACTTCTGCATTTTTTTGGTAAAAACCTCAAATTTCTGGACTTTGGTTTTGCGTTTAGCTCTTGCATATTAGGCTCTTTCTGACAAAGTATAAGAGCTAGACCAACCAAACCTCAATCATACTTGTATCATGGGTAGCAGAGCCTACTACTCTAAAAACATTTTATGGATTTCTGCACTTTTTCGGATAAAAACCTGAAATTTGTTATGATTTTGCGTTTAGGTCGGTTTCCTTATGTACTTGGGTCATACACTGTAGGTGTATCATAGCTGAATGCACTACACTCTTTCCTAACATTTCATGGATTTCCCCCATTTTGGGTGGAAAACCCTCACATTTGTGGACTCAAATTTAGGGCTTTTTAGCAATTTCAGAAACCACTTATAACATTATGTCAAATGCTTATTATATTGACAAAGCGGGACAGGCGACACATATAATTACGCGTAATTCTTGTTATAACTAGTTATACACATATGGATACTTAATACATTACCCTCGGAAACTTCCGTCTCGTAAGATTTTGTATGGTTTGGAAGGTTTCATATTATGGGAATACTTTTGAAATATAATTTCTTTAGTCTGCAGTTCATCATCAATTGAAAACTTAATTGAGGGGATTTAACTGATGAAAATGATATGATCCATGAAAAGAAATGTGTTTTAGTGCTGCATATTAATTGAGCAATAATTATTGAGCTGATAATTGCTAAAATAAGATAATAGTTAAATCAGTTTCCCAAAATCTGTTTTTTGTAATGGTTCTATTGGTCTATGTCAATCTAAATTTTTGATATAGTATACCCATTTTAACTCGCATATATAAAAATGAGTCCAAAACCTACAATTATTTTTGTTTTCCTTGAAATTGTGAACACACTGAGAAATAAAGGACCCAGACTTGATGAGTACAAGTTAAAAAGTGATAAAGTGTAATAATCGAACATTCCTCATAATTTGTCATATTGACAGAAAAATTATTTCTTTGTTTCGACTGTATGATAACATTATTTTTTATATTTGTTCTTATGATTTAAAAAAAATATTTGTATTTATATAAAACAATACCTAATGTTACTGTGTTTGTTGTTTCTTTTTATACCGGGTTTTACAATGATTACTTCACATTTACGTGAAAATATGACTCAATTTCACAATGAAAATAATTCACATTGATCAGTGAAAAATAAATAAAAAATTGACACTGTAAATAGGATAATATGGTTATTTCACATTTAAAACTGAATCGTGATTATTTCATAGTGAACATGATTATGGTACTTAAGTTAGATATTTCATTCATTATCATTCAGATGAAATTAAAATCTGTAATATTTAATCTGAACTTTCCACTCTCTGGTGTCAAAAACCGCGTATTTTTGCACTTTTTAGCTCACATGGTTCTTCGGACCATGGTGAGCATAATTATGCCATACCGCAGCGTCTGTCCGTCCGTCAACTTTTCCTCTAAAACGCTACTATAGTCCTGAACGGCCAAGTAGATTTTGACTAAATTTGGTCTGGAGCATCCTTAGGCCAAGGGGACTCAATTTTGTATAAACGGTGGGTCTGGCCCCCCTGGGGGCTGAGGGGCGGGGCCCAAAAGGGGAAATAAAGCAAATTCTTTAAAAGCCCTTCTTCTTCTGTAGGAATGAAAGGATTTGTTCCATATTTGGTCTGAAGCATCCTTGGGTGAAGGGGAACCAATTTTGTATAAACCGTGGGTCTGGCCCCCAGGGGCCTGAGGGGAGGGGCCCAAGAGGGGAAACATAGTAAATTGTTCTTTAAAATCCTTCTTCTTCTGTAGGAATGAAAGGATTTGGTCCATATTTGGTGTAGAGCACTTGCGTAAAGGGGAACCAATTTTGTATAAATGGTGGGTCTGGCCACTCCTGGGGGCTGAGCCCAACAAGGGAAACATAGCAAATTATTCTTTAAAATCCTTCTTCTTCTGTAGGAATGAAAGGATTTGGTCCATATTTGGTGTGTTGCTAGCATCCTTGGGTAAAGGGGAACCAATTTTGTATAAACGGTGGGTGTGGCCTCCCTTGGACCTGAGGGGCGGGGCCCAATAGGGGAAATAGAGGTAAACCTTTAAAATCCTTCTTCTACCATAGGGATTAAGGGATTTTATCCTAATTTAGTCTGAATCATCCTTGGGCCAAGGGGACTCAATTTTTGTATAAGCAGTGGGTGTGGTCTCCCAGGGGACAGAAGGGCAGGGCCCAATAGGAGAAATAGAGGTAAAACCTTTAAAATCCTTCTTCTACCGTAGGGATTAAGGGATTTTATCCTTATTTAGTCTGGAGCTTCCTTATGCCAAGGGGACTCAATTTTGTATAAACGGTGGGTATGACCCCCCTAGGGGCATAGGGGTGGGGCTCTGTTTGAAGTTTGTTCTCGCTATATCTCAAATACTGGATGGATCACACAGCACCTACTATGGAGTGCTATATCTTTACTTAATACCAATTATTTTAAACATATTCAGGTGAGTGATACAGGCCCTCTGGGACTCTTGTTTAAAAATTAAATTGGAAATTGGATATTACTTGACACTGGTTTTCATATTTTTGTCATCATTCTGTGCTCTGTCTTATTTAGATAAGGTACACTGGTGATGTGTTTGTCTGCCCAGCAGGTATACAGATCATCCCTACATGTGTGGCCGTTCCAGCATCTAAGTTCCTTCGCTGTGGCCAATTAACTCGATGATTCATTGATTATGAAGTTCTCCATTTATATCCACACAGGAGATTTATCACACGATATAAACAAACATATACACAGAATTTATACATACCCTATAAAGCTGTGTGAATCATGTGAGCGTCGACCTAGATAGAGGTTTTGTGTGTCGCACCGATCCTCAAAGGTATAAACCAGGAAAGCTTGTTCACATTAGGCCGATTCATGGGCGCAACAGCAGCTTCTTTGTGCCCCGCCACAGGGGGGGGGGGGGGACTTGGTTCTCCCGGAGCAAGGACTTGAGAATGGACAATATACAGTCCATATAGTAGAACCTTGTTTATCTATATTCAAGTGTTACAGGAGTCACTTTATGGAGAAAAAACTTGCATGATGTTGACATTTTCCTTCCTTTTTATTGATATTTTCTGTTATACAGATAGCTGTTTCCTAAGTACAAGATAAGACCACAAGGTTCCACCAGGTGACAAACGTAATCAAAGTACTGAAAGTACTGAAAGCTAAGGCAAAAGATATATATATTATTTTTGGAATGGAGAACAAAATATAGACGAAGTTCCCATCATATTGTACAGAAGGATTTACTGTTAATTTGTTATGAATCAAAGTTTTATGTAAAAGTGCACCACTGTGAAGTTATTCTTCTTGTGTGTACAGTATATCTTTATAGGTTTGTCAGAAGAGTGGTACCAAGTTTCCTCTAGAATATATCATTTTAAACCTTTGGATAATTAATTTGCATAGGAATTTGGAATTGCTTCCCTTTGTCCATACAATGTATTTCATAGAATATTAAAAACTGAAACTGGCATTTACCCCTTTGATCAATACCTGATTATTTTAAACCATTGAATATATTATGCACAGATTGTGAACATCTTTGAACTTTGCCTTTGTTGTTGAATAAGATATCAACCCTTGCCTCATCTGACAAAGTTACTTGGCATAAAACCATTGACCAATCAGAGTACAGTATGCTAATTAATTAGGCATGGATTTCACTCAACTTTGGACTTATCGTCTAAGTTTGTATATTGATCAATATATATTCAAGCAAGTTATCTTGTAAAGTGTGCACATCGACCAGGGTTGGCATGCTTTTTAATACGTGTGAATTTTGTTCAAGTTTCAATTTTGCATCAGTCAGTGTATATTGTTACAGAACAATATTTATAAGGATGTTTACTTGCCGAAACTAAATTGTGGATAAGCAAGTGGATTACTGCTACCCATAAATTTACAAGTCTCTCAATAATTTTGAAAAACTTTTAAATAAAGTGTTTTACATATTCACTGCAGTGAAAAGGTCTCTTCTTATGAAAAATGGAACTATTTTGAATCTGTGTTCCCATGAACAAATAATATAAAAAGCACTCTAATTCAATATGATACATTGTTGTATGTTTCAATATTGAATAAGATAAACAAAATATAAACATACATACTCACACACACACACAAGATTAGGAGAGTTACATTATTTTCCCTCTATTTCCATTGCATAAATTCTTCACAAAGAAAACAACAACTTTATAGCATATGTTCAGCTTTATCATCTTCATAGGCTAGCATTTGAAATAAGATGCACATATTAATTTCAAATACATTTCAAAAGAGTACTGCAAATGTACCAGCTAGAACACATACTATGTTATTACAGTTGTCATGATTGTTGGTTTCAGAACTGATAGCATTGTGCAACAAATGTTGACAACAGGACTTATTGAAAGTTGAGGTTGCTTGTGTATATGCAAACAGGTAGTGCATGATTTAATGTTGAGAATGATGGATCAAGGTTTATAAAATTTGGTTTGAATACTTAGTTAGGAATGCACTGACAATTTCTCTGTCACATGTACATGAACAGGTTGTGAAGCTGTAGCCTTCACCTTGACTGAATGAAATTGACCTTAAAACTGTCTTGAACAATTGATGTATGAAATTTAGAAATGAAGTTTCAAGAAATATGGTTGAAAACTTAAGAAATAATTGCTTTCATTGACATTGATACAATCTTGTGTGCTATCCCTCTCATATATCACACAAGATTTAATATCAAATGTTGGACACAGTAAAATCGAGCGAAGTTAACAAATATCAAGTTACATATTATAACTTTTATTTTATTTTATTGATATTGATCATAAGCATTGTTAAAAGTACAATGTATACCAGGGATCTTACATTTCTTTTACTACTTAACATTTGCGTTGACTTTTAATTCATTGGACAAAAACTAAAAGGAAGCCATGACCAGTATTTCTATCTTTAAAAACATACTTTTAATTTTTTTTCCAATTTGCTCCCACCACCCATAGTGTTATATTGATCAAAACAAACGTTGTTTCCAACATTTGTGCCCTTAGTCAGTAGTGGGTGTTCAATCACATTCATCAGGGTTTCAGCATCAAGTAGGGGCTGTTCAATCACATTCATCAGGCTTTCAGCATCAATATTCACAGATTCAATCTGTTCCAA